TTACTATTTGGAGCAAGCGATCGAACAGCCCCAACGTGTGGATCTCTTAGCGCATCTGCGATGAGCGTCCAAGCCAGGCAACCACTCGTGAATATCCCACCTAGCCAAAGTGGTTAGGCCTTTGGCAGCACTGAGACAGAAGCACAATGCAATTTTGCGCAATGGAACGCGTGGCTGGGGATGTGCGGCTTCTGCGACGGCTCACTTGTGGCGCAAGAAGCGAGCACGATGTGGATTTTGGCTGGTGGTGACAATGGCAATCGAACCATGGTGTCATTCCCTGGAGGCGGAGATGGGGCGGCTTCACTGTGATGGGTCTTGGCACACTAAGGCGTTAGCGCAGAGCTGTGACGTTCCAACTGCGCTTCGACCGTGGAGCACGATTCCTTGGGACAAAGGCGACTGAGTCTCCGAACAGTCTTTATCGGCCACCCATCGTCCCTCATTCTTGTCTTCATCCTCATAACCACCTTCGCTATGAACGGCAACACCAACGGGAACCCGCCGCCCGCCAGCGCGCCCGCCGCGCCCGTCGCCGTCAATGGCCAGCAGCCGCCTGTTCGTCGCCGTCGCCCGCGCCCACAGGCCGATGTCCTGCGCAAGCCCCGTCGCCCGCTACAGAACATTACCCGGCCCATGGTGTCGTTGTCGCAGATGAACGAGGCCAAGAAGCCCGTCGCAGGGCCCGCCAACGATGGAACCCAGTCGAAAGACGCGTTGCGACAGCAGTTCCTCGACCAAGGCGCCAGCGTCTTCCCGCTCATCGTGAGCCGCAAGGATCTGAAAGAGCTGCGACACCATGTCATGCGTCTGCATAGCAAAACTCACGTCGATATCACCGACGAGCATCAGTTTAAGACCCCGATCAAGCTCCACCGCAGAGATCCGCGTGCGCCCCCAAGCGGCATGGGGTCGACCTACGAAGAGGAGGACACCAAGGAGGACATGGAAGAGATGAAGGAGCGCGAGCGCATCGAACTGCAGCAGGAAGAGCGTCGCAAGGTCCGCGAAGAGAACCAGGCCAAGATCGCGCCAACCGGCATGAAGAAGCCCCCTGCCTTCCACAAGAAGACGGAGCAAAAGTATCGCCCCGACGACACTCCAGAAGCGAAGAAGCGCCAGCTATTGCGCTATGAGGAGACGCTGCCGTGGCATCTTGAGGACTTCGAGAACAAACAGACATGGGTCGGCACTTACGAGTCGGAGCTGTCAGAGACACACGTCATGCTGTCAACTACTCGCCCCGGAGATCCAAGTACAGCCATTCAAATGGCTCCCATGGAACGCTGGTATCGCTTCAATGTTAAGGGCAAGGTCAAGACCGGCGGTGACGACTTGGACAAGATCCTGGCCAAGGTTGAAAGAGGCGGCGGACCAAAGTTCTTTGCCGACCTTGAAGAGCGCCAGAAGCAGCGCGTCAACGCAGAAAACAATGCAAGGATGTGGAGTGGAGTCCGTACCCGTGTAGGTGGTGGCGCAGACGACGAAGGCCGGATCAAGCGGGAACGCAACGATGATGACACAATCGGCTTCGTCAAGCGCGAAGCTGACGCAGACGATATTGACTTCAATCTTGAGGAAGACTTTGCCGACGACGAAGAGGGTCTGAATGGTCTCTTCGAAGGTGAAGAGCAGGACGTCAAAGAGGCAGCTGAAAAGCTGAAGCGAGACCAGCTGCAAGCCGCTCTATGGGATCGACCAGATGAGCTGGCCATTGCCATAAAGGAAGAACAAGAACGGAAGGAAGCCGAGGAGAAGAGGATCCAGGAAAAGGCGACTAGAAAAGCCCTGGTGAAGCGCGAGAAGCAGTACGACTACCTTGACAGCGACCCAGAGAATCCGTACATCACAGAAAGCGAATCGGATACCGACTCTGAAACAGAGCGACAACAGGCAAAGGAGGAGGCAGAGAAGAAGGCAGCCGAGCAAAATGGCAAGGCTCCAGAGGCTGGCAACGTCCCCTCTGGTACGTCGACGAAAGGCTCCAACACTCCATCAGGAAACCACAAGTCTGGTGATGGTAAGAGCAAGAAGCGGCCAGGTTCACCCAACTTGTCAGAAGCCAGTGGTAACGAGTCTTCGCGCAAGAAGCATAAGAAGAAGCATGACAAACTAGCTGATGGATCTCGGAAATCTTCCCTTGCCAATCTCAAAGGCGCTGGTTCTGGTAGCGACAGCGAGATGACAGACGCCGGCAAGAAGCGAAAGAAGGACAAGAAGGACAAGAACCGCATGATGATGGGCGGATCTCCTAGCGGTACTCCTGGTGCTAGTCGTGCGGGTAGTCCAGCAGCCAATGGCAGCCGCGCGGGTAGTCCCTCCGCAGCTCCAGCACGACCTCCTTTACCATCTGCCAAGGAGATCTATGAATCGTTGCCGCCCCAGGGCATGAACATCCAGAACCTCATCGTCAAATTCAAGGGTCGCGTTGACAAGACGAATACGCAGCTTTTCATCAAGCTTGTCAAGGCGGTCTCTAGCTTTGACAAGGCCAAGAGCTGGCTTACTCCCTTGGAAAAGATGCCATCCGATGAGCATATCAGTGCCTTCATGAATGCGGGGAATGCACCAAAGCCTGCGTAATTCGAGGACACGTACGGTCTAAAGGGAACCATTTTTAATATCCAGCGTGTACTTTGATAAATTGAATTGACGTAGAGAGTGTGGGGTGAGGGGCCACAGATTGGCACAGGCTTACTTTGCGTTCCTCATCGAGGATAATACATGACTCGCAAAGTACCGGTACGACAGTAACCCTGAACACTTTCTGTATTGTGGCTACCCAGTATAGAATAAACTATTACTTTCAATTCTAGCTGAACTCTATCCACAATCATCATATTTTCTTCTCTTCAATCCCGTCCTCTTTACTATTCTCTTCGCTACCATTCTCACTTCTCAACGGACTCTCATGCCCCTGTTCCGCAGCGACCTCCTGTAACACCATTTCGTTAGCACCAACCCCAACTTCTTCATCTCTTGGTACATTTGGTCCATGCATCGCTTTGTCTGCTGTCTCCCCGTCAGCAGAATCCTTGTCTTTCTTGATCATGCTCCAGCCGCCTCTCCACCCAACCCATTTCTCCTCCCAGGGACCCCTAGCAACGATAACAAGAATCGCCGCAGAGATGAATCCAACACTAGCACTGCCGCTTCCTACCCACCCGGCAGCAGCATAAATATGGTTTCCAGCCGCCGTGCCAATAAGCTGACCACAAAATGTAGCAACCATGAAAGCGGTATTCACCCCGTTCCGCCGCTTCGGTTCCACCGAGTAGATACTAGAACGGTTTGCAATCTGCGCAGTTTGGTTGCCGAAATCCATCAATAGGGCTTGCAGGACGGGGCCTGCGACGGTAAAGGTACCCGTATAAGTGCCTAGACATATTCCCAGAAGCGAGCATGTAAGACCGAAAAGGACGGAGAAATGCGGGACGAAGCGGTCGGTGACTGTACGCGCATATATGGGAGAGATAAGCATGCCTGCTATGCCTATAAGCCCAAACAGTCCGATTGTGAGGGAAGAATAGTTGTATGGGCCATCCGCGAGGAGAAATGTCAGTGTTGTCCAGAAAGACGTAAAAGGCGCTGAGCAGAAGAGACCGGCTAGACAAGCCTGAACAAGAACAGGATGACGGAAAAGCATCTTAACGATATCGAGCAGTATTCTGAAATAGTTCATGCCCGGGTTGGTTGCAGGATAGTCGGGCATGAATAGCCAGAGGAGGACGAAGATGATATATTGAATGGCAAACGCCATCCAATATACTGCGCGCCAGGTGACGAAATTCGAAATTGTTCCCGAGAGGACGCGGGCGACAAGCACACCAAGCATGAGGCCAGAGACGACGATGGAGAGTGCTGCTGCGCGGCGTGACGGAGGAGCTAGGTCGCCGACCAATGGGAGCATGAGCTGCGGTGTAACAGTTGTTACCGCTACGATGAAGGATATTGCCGTGAATGTCCCAAGGTCGGAGGTTAGACATAGTCCGAGCCTATCCATCGTCAGTAGTCTTCTTCTAGTGCACGTCATAGTTCAAAAACAACCTACCATAAGGTCGCAGTAAACCCTACTAAACCGCATACAAATGGCCGTCTGGGCAACAAGTCTCCCAGAGGGCATAAAAACAACAGCCCAGCTGCATATCCAGCTTGCATTACAGTAGGAATCTGCGCAACCTGTTCATATCGTACACCGAAATCTATGGCTAGTAGGTTGAGGATGGGGTGATTGTAGTAAAGATTTGCTACTGTAAAGCCGGCGGCAAAGGCAAACAGGACGTTCACTGGAAGATGTGGGTGATTAGCTAGCTGATACACTCAGGGACGAGGTTAAAGGGGAAAACTAGGGGGACTGGAAGTACACCCTAGGACTTTCTCCCCGCTCAAGTTCATAAGCGCTCCGGAGGCCACGATAACCATATGAATATGGACGTACTGCTCATAGAAAATTGCGGTGGCTTATCCGGGTCCCAACGACAATTTGGCGGGGTCCATGTTAAGGTTGTGTAAGCTCTTTTCCATATTGAATGCTTCCCTTGCTCTTTCTCCTCGACACCTTCGCTTTGTTCTGCCTCGTCTCTTGATGGATGTTCCGCTGGCCTAGAGGTAGCCGTCCGTGCTGCTGCTTCCCCATTGGCTGGTACCGTCCTACAGCCCCCGCCATCCTTAATGTCGTTCGTTAACATGATCTGCTTATATTGCACACATTGTACTCTGACAAAAACGCATCCAATAAAGAGTGACAAGAGCGATTAGCGAGGCAAAACGTGGTGCAAAGACTAAGAGGCAAAATTGCGGAAGAATCGAGGTACTGATAGTCGATGACGGGATCCTTCCTCTTTCGAACAAGTTCGGCAGAAGTGAGGAGCCGAGAACAGTGCTGAACGACGCTGTTATCCCCGATATCACCACCAATCAAATGTAGCGCACTATCTGGGCACAGGATATGACTGCTGTCATGAAACGTACTGGTATTGTGCTGGACGTTCCTTTGGTATCTAAACGACGTCAACGATTTTCTCATCTTCATCGTCTTCCACGTTCTCCAGCCCCATTAGCTTCCCGCTACCACCTGCGCTAGCCATGTCTGGTATATCCTCCTCTTCGCCTTCTTCTTTGCGCATGATGACTTGAACCACACGATCGCATGCTTCTTGAACTCCTTCATCGTCGACGTGCATGTGGCACTCTCTGACGATTGGGTAGACTTTGACGCGTCTCAGCACTTCCCTACTTTCTTGTGTCGTACTCAGCAGAAGTAGTGTCTCGAGATGTGTCTTGATGATTTCATTATCCTTCTCGCGCTCCTTGTCTGGCTCGAGGAGTTGCAGCTCATCCAACATGCCCTCCGTGTCATCATCCGCGTATTCTTCTGGGCCCATAAGGGGTAGAAGAATATAAGGAAGTAAGTTCGCACCGATAGAGGGTGGTGGTAAATTGGGGTCGGAGGATAGATTGGATAGCAGTACTGGGTGCGCAGGGACGTGAAATGCGACATTCTTAATCGTCGATGCTACACCAAGGCGTCGGATGTGCGAGGTGTGATCGGTGAAGACCTGAATCTTGGTGATTGGAATTACGTTGTCGTCATGCTCCTGGGGTGTAGTGAGGTATTCGCGGCCTTTGGGAAACTTGGCCAGATCGGCGAAGAAGTACGAGAGGTAGTCAAAGTCTGCGTGCTTGTTGTAAGCGCCCTCTGCGCCCTTGACAAAGCAGTCCATGAGCTGGTCCATGGCCCACGTCGACTTGGACAGCTCCTTTGGTATGTCGCGCTTCAACTCCAAGACGCGTTGTAGTGAATCCTCCTTGGCCATATTGGCGAGGAGCATTGCGATCTCGTTCGCATTTGGCTCTTTCGAGTTCTGCAGCAAGTCAACCTCTGCCTGTTCTCTCTGTATGCGCGGGGAACTGACATACGGTTATCCGCGATAGTAGCGTCTCGAGAAATTCATCGTCCTTGGCCAGTGCCTTCTGGACCTCAGCGTCTGCCGAGACGTTGATGAGAATGGTAAGGGCGTTCTTCGCTATGGGCGCATAGTCCTTGACGAGTAGCTTGAGATCCCTAATGGGCTCTAGTTGGTTGCGCTTCCACAAGGAAGGGTTTGCTTGTGAATATCCGACGAGGTGTTCGGCCGCTGCACAGTGTGAGATATGTTTCGTGGTGGGGTGGAGGGGTTCGTCTGACCAGTCTGTCTGATCTGCGTGTTGCCGTGATGCAGGAATTCTACAAGCTAGACATGGCGCGTTAACTGGCAGGAACCATGAGTTCTCCAAGTCCTCTTGCTCACCTCTTCTAATTCTGACGGCATCGTGGCTGTGGCTGCTTGTTCTTGCCGTGCGCGATGACGAAGACCCAACTTTTTCTCGGTTGCAATTAAGGTTATCGATAAGCTTAGCGCATCCCGCACCTCCAGGCCTTCGCCACGAGTTGTCGCGAGACGCATACATGGACGCTAGCATCTCTGCCGCAAGGTGATACCCGTTGATTGCTTCATCTAATGCATATTGCCCTGCCTATTCTTAACTCTCTATGACCTGATTCCATAATCAGCTGGCGATATCCAAGCACTTGGAAGCTCAGCGCGGTCATAATTCGGACGACTCCAGCACACTGCCCAGCGACCAAGTCTTCTAATCAATCATGTTGCGCATCTTGCCATCTGCGTGATTTTGCGACACATCCTGGCACCATTTCTTGGCCAAAAGTCCTGGTGTTAGGGGCGGTTACGCGCGACTTGACTCTGCAGCTCGCGAGCTCGTTTTACCGCCGAAAGCTTGGTGGCTTCAAGCCGCAACCCCGCCGAACGCTGGTGTGCCAAAACCAATCTGCATCCACCAGCACTGGCTAACAGTCTTGCGCGCCAGCTACAAAACTATGTTGATAGATTCAACTTTTAGTACAGGAACTGATGAACAACATGTCTACGAGTAGCGACGCTGCAAAACAGCAAGCAGGTTAACAGATATGCTCCTCCGCATTCCCGTGATGGACAGCGAAAGTGCCATGCTGGCATAGGTTTTGAGCGCTCGAAATAGATTGCCGACTTGCAGCGGGCCGCCGGACTGGCCACTTGTCACACGCATATGCTGCCCAGTACGCAGGGCAGGCACACATCATCAACCAATGAGCGTGGTATGCCGGTATCGTAACATCTCGAGCTAGTGTGCCAGGGTCTGTAGCGAGTGAACAGCGTTGGCGCTTACAACCCCCCCAGCCACCCACCCAAAATATAACCGCCGCTCATCAACCATGAGTAGCGCCGAGCCTTACAAACGTCTTGATTGGGCCCATCTGACCACCACCTGGCTGCAAAGAGTCCTTTCCTGCATGGGAAGCCGTCTTTCTACCGCTATTGCCCTTGATGCATCCCTACAGCTCTTCCGCTGACTCGGACTACCTCGCAGAATGCTCGTCTTATAGTCGTTATCCCCAGATTACCCGAGACGTCTGCTCGTACTCTCGGTGTTGCTGTTCCCAGTCTTTGTTTGCTTCTATCTACACAGCCGGTATCTGTTTCGTTTGGTCCCGCCAGTTATTTCGGGATACCATTTTATTAAGAGTAGGCTTGTAGACATTCATTATGGCAGGACCAGCACTTCAACTATTCCCTCCGCCTCGTGCTCCAAGACAGACGAGTCCTAACCGAAGACCATCTCCACACACAAAACCAACAAGTCCAGAGCCATTGCTGCCTGAGAGTGCAGTGAGCAACAAATCTCCAGTTGACCTCCACGGACTCCTTATACAGGTCAACTCTGTTCCAGTCTCTCCATCCAACCCAATGGCTCCTCCACCGGCCATTGCAGCTCCGCCAAGAGCACATATGCCCAACTCGCAGGCTACAACAGCAGTGCCACCAACGGGCAGGCCACACTTCGAGCCACCCCCTCAGCAAGCGGCCTCTCCGCAGATTGAACGTCAAGAAAGCTTTTACCGCACACAAGAACGTCCTGGGCATAACCAGACTAACGACCAGCAACGTACCGCTAGTCCAGATCCAACTCGCGCCATCTCACCAGCATTCTCTGAAGCTCAGACTCTGGTCCGAGCAAATAGCTCTGCCACTCGATGCGTCTCACCTCAAGAAGAGATTCCGATGCGATCAATGTTCCCCATTTATGATCCTACAGTCCCTCTTGGACGTCAACCATATCAGCCAACGCAAACATCGCCAACACAGATACCCCGGACGCAAATCAGTCGATCGCCCTATTCTTCCGAGTCGTATGTTCCTCATAGTAACGTTCGTTCGAGCAATTCGTCAGCCCCTCCACCACCAAAGCCCTTCTTTACGCCGTCCAACCTACTCGACAACCTCTGGACGGCTACCAACGGACAAGAAGAGCCAAGTGTACAGATATATACATTGAGGATGCATCGAGCAACTGCCTCGAATCCAACAATTACGTTTGGTACGACGCCATCCCTGCCATTCTATTCTGTAGCACAGTCGAATCTGGCAGGAAATCACGACATACCCAGCATTATGAACGAATTGCTTATCCAACGGCATCATCCAACTCAGCCGCGAGTGCTGCCTATTGCCCAACTCGACCTCATCGCGCCGCCTTCATTAGATAGTGGGGCTTTCAGCCAAAAGCAGCACGAGGACACCACCATGCTTACTAGCATATATCCCAAGCTTGCCGCTCTCCAGGCGCTCGATGCGGCTGCCAATTCACCCGCTGCCTCGCGTATAGCGCTTTCGGACCCTGGCGCGCAGTCTCCCGCTGCACAGCGGCTGGCTGAAGACGTTCTGGCTGGTACTGCACAGCGCGAGTGCTGCGCCCTTGCCTGGACGAGGGATAACCCTCAACAACAAGCAAATCCTTGGGCGCAACACATGCCGTCAGAAGGATCGTATCAGTTGCACCATCCGACATTGGGCACGTTTCCTATCTCTTTAGAGGGTGACTGCTCTGTCATCAACGCACCTTCCACCAGACCCGTTACAGCGTTCTATGGACATAACATGCCTATGACACCGCAGAATATGGGACGGAAGCCCGCTTGCATCACGGTATTGAATCCTTACATTCTTTCTCCAACGACACCACGGACAAACGCTTTCTCCCCACTGCCACCGCCTCCACGGTTAGATGGTATCAACCGACCAATATCCATGACTCCGTCTGAGATGTCGGTTGGCCAGCTTCCCACGACCACAGACGCCACTGCGGATGATGCTATGCTCGCACGTCTCGATTTCGCCAACGATGCCCTGATTCTCAATCTTGGTGCTTTGACACGTTTCGGCAATCCTTTCCTAGTTGATGTTGTAACTTCCACGCTCCTGGCTGTTGCAGTGGCGGAAGCTACGCGCGGTCGCAAGACACGTAATCGAAGTCAAGAGAACTTTGAGCCCCCACCACCGAGCTTCACTCTGACACATCAGAAGGAAGACACCGCGAAAGCGTTCAAAGACTCCTTTGTCGAGGGCTTTCAAGGCATCGGAGGAAAGTCACGACCACCGCTCTCCGGTAAAGGGCTGAAGAAGTTTGCTTCCAGCCTGAGAAGTACGACGACGACACGTAGTGAGAGCGCACATGGAAGTTTCGACAAGGACATTGAGCTGGGAGAGTGGTACGGACAGGACAAGTACACCAAAGCAAAAGAGACAAAGTCTGAGAAGAAGGCAAAAAAGGCGAGTGCTGATGACGAAAGTAAATTGCCGTTTGTCGCCCGCACCGTCATAACAGTATTGACGTTCGCATTCAAGACTGTGGTGTTCGTCTTGAAAATTGCGTTCAAGATTGTTGCGGGTGTCATCGTTATGATTACGAGAAACTTCAGCAAATTATAATGTGAGAGACTGTAGATGGATGGGCGGGCAAATTCTTAGGACTTGGGGAGTTCGGTTTTCTATTCTGCATGATACCATTATTACTACGTTCGCTGGACACTATTTAGACCACGCTACATGCGTGGCAGACGGGAACCTAATTTCAATACGATTACATTGATTGTAGTTCGCTCTTGTTATCCAAGTTTTCAACACGAGATGCTGACAATGAACAGTTGGTAGATAAATTATTGTACCGAGAGATGTACAAACAGCTGGCGAGAAGTAGTTACGCGGCGCCTACCACCATGTACTCCTCACTCTCAGTCTCACCCATCAGAGCCTCCAATATGTCATCGGCGTTCTGAAATATATAACTCATCGGGCCTTCGCCATCCTTCAGGCGCAGCGAGCTGCCTGGCAACAGGTCCTTGGCCTTCTGGGCCATTGCAGCAGGGCAGTTCTGGTCCTCCCGACCATGCCACAGCGTAAGAGGGATCCCATTGTCTCCAACGTACAGTTGGCCAAACTCGAAGCCCCAGTCGCTGCCGTTCAATTTTGCCTCCCAGCTTACGCCTTCACTCCCTTGATAAAACGATTCCCTGGTCATGGCTACGTAGATGGGCCAGTTAGTTCTGTCTTTGATGGCTTCTTGGTCGCTGGGATGTCGACATTGGATCTCCTTGGCAATCATTTCCTCTAGGACTTTCGGATCGTCGTTGCGACTCGCCTTGCCCATGGTACTATCGAACAAGGTGGTGACCAGACCAGTCATCCATGGCGCTGCCCATAGGACAATGCGCGAAGGAAACGTCATGCCTGCTGTCCCCAAATTGACTGGATACAAGCCGCTGACTATGCTAGCGCTCATCAAGCGGTCCTTCGATATCTCCTTCACGCAGGCCAGTACGTAAGGTGCGCCTCCAGATACACCCAGTACGTAGAAGTTGTGGATCTTGAGGTGGTCGGCCAGTGCAAGCACATCGGCAGGCCAGTCGAGGATACGACGGTTGGTTTGAAAGGTCGATAAGCCGCTGCCAGGACGGTCGGGGGCGATGATTCGGACGTTGTGTAGGGCGCAAGCCGAGTGCCAGAGCTTGCCTTCGTAGCGCGACGATTGGCAGCCATGCATGAAGACTATTGTCTTTTGGGGTACCGGACTGCCGTAAACAGCGTAGGATAGGGTACGGCCATCTTTCAGCTTCATACGCTCATTCTCCTGCTGCATCGTAGCCTCTGTGGGTGGTATTTGTTAGTAAAGGGCGTGGTTGCGTTCTTGCAGCTTCTACGGAAGAAGGCGGGCACGAGGCCACATCACCTTCGCCGTCTGCGGTAAGCGTGACAGGCAACGCATAGTGAAGGTTGTTTGCCTTTGAGGCATATACAAGCGGATCGACGATACGCTGAGTTGTGCAGAGCGGGGTGGACGGGCTCGACACCACGGGGTGAGCTTTGTTTCGGCCTCGCCAAGTTGCACTACGGCTATGACGGGCAAGGCCGCCGGACATCTCGCCCACTAGTTCTGACTTCACATGCATCGACAGAGACATCACACCAACCTTGCTCAGATCAGCGAACTTGCTGGAGAATACCATTAATAGCACTCCTCATTATTCGGTGCGCTTATAAGTCCTATGAGGTTGGGGGTCGAAGCCGCTTCCAACCTCGGGTACCCGCGCTATTTACTGTACTACCACTTGGTGCTCGTAGACGAGACCGCATCGAGACAGTAAGAACCCGAACGCCGCCGCATACTCCAACTACAAGCCCCCCAAACTCCTTGTATCCAGAAACGCCGATGCACTAATATTCCTACTTCTTGTTCATGAAGAGCGGGCGAAGAAGAGCCTTGACAAACCCTTCCTCCTTCGCTTGATCCAAAGGGAAGATACGACTCTTAAGGGTGTATGCGCGGAAGAGCTTGTAGTTCTTGAAGGTAATGACTGGATAGCGCTCTGGATCGTTCCGGTGGTCTAGGATGTTGAAGATGTTGACATAAACGCGTGAGAGAGCCTGATAGAACACGTTAAATAAATGGGCTAAACGGTAGAATCATTTACGCACTTTCTTGCACTGTGTGATAGACTGTGGTATAGGATCGATCTTGACGTCGCGACACAGTTCCTGCCACTTTGCCAGGCTCGACTTGTCGGGGCCGTAGTGTCGTAATACCTCAAACTCAACGACTTCGGCGCGACGTCGCTTCTCCTCGTTCTTGGACCAACCTTGATGAATAGAGAGCTTACTTAGTTTGGCTATCAGATCGTCTTCAGGGCTCGGGACAAATCCGTGAAATTCTTCCTGCGTGAAATAGTCATGGCCTTGATCGGAAGAACCGTTGTCGCTTGGGGGAGGAGTGCTGCAATCGCTTGAGGAATCAGAAGCAGTTGTCACGGCTTCAGGTACGATGGAAACGCCACCTTCTGTTTAATGTAAGTACGTCGCTTAGGTATTGCTCTTTCCGGATTGCTACTCACTAGCGCTAGCGCGATTCCGACGAGCCATCTTTCAAGGTTGCGGGTGGGGTGTCGATAGTGGTGCACGGGAATGTGGGCCCTTTGGTTAAGAGCGTTGCCCGACGTGTCGCGTTCCACTAGACCGCGATTTGTGGTGCTCCCAAGGAAAAAGAAAGGCCATAAAGCGTAGAATGAATGTTGACGCGTCGCCAAGCGGCCGTACGCCGCTGAGTCATGCACATTAAGTAATCCGTCTCTCAGGGTCATTTTCACGCGCAGGACTTGTGGTGTTGCATTTCCTTGTCATTCCTTCCAACCCTAACATGTCGCTAACATGCACATGCTTTGTCTATCATAGCTTCCTCAACAACGCGCTTATGAAACCGTCCTGTTTCGCCTTCTCTCGAGGAAAAATGTTGTCCGGTGATGTATATTCCCGGAACTTGTAGTGGTTCTTAAACCGGATGACCTCAACACCAATGTTACGATGATCGATAAGATTAACCAGGTTGACCAAGACATTCCGGCTACCAAGCACCTACATGCAGTTAGCAACAGGTTCCCAATTGCTTGCGACTTGTTTACCCTCTTGCACTGGGTGATACTGCCTGGTGGATCGCTAACGTGTACCTCGCGACAGAGATTCTGCCAGGTTTCTAGCTTCGTCGTATCTGTTCCATATGCATAGTCGAACTCTTCCGCCTGACACTCAGCCCAGCGCTTTCTCACAGTCTTTCCGGCCCACTTGCGCTGCGCCGCTAGGCGCTCGAAATTGCTCCTGATTCCAACCGTCGGGTTGTACACGAAAGGTGGGAACTTCTGGAACCATGCACCAGCCTGACTTGGGGTTTGGGTATGGACATCGTTATCCGTATCATCGTGATCTAGGGCTGCTGAAGCTGCCTGACAGTTTGTCCAATGCTTTCTTCGAAGCTTGTCGCCCCACTTGCGCTGTGATGATAGTCGGTCGAAGTTACTCCTGATGCTGGCGGTCGGGTCGTACACGAAGAGTGCAAAGCTCAAGAACCACGTTTCAGCTTGGGTTGGCATGCGTGTATTCGCAGTGGATGGTGTGTTAGCACCGTTTGGGGTTGCAATAGAAGCTGCAAGTTCTAGGACAAAGCGTTATACTGTGAAAATGCCTGATGTTTGAGAAAACAAAAACACTTACGAGCGCGAGGGTTTCGTTGACGGACCATGTTGAAGCAGTTCGTCAGCTCACCAAAGTCCTGGGGCATTGCAAGTAGTAGTGAACTTCTTGTTTCCAGACGTGGGGTGCATACGGAATCCTGCAGCAAACCGAGACAGATTGGCAATCAGACCATGGAGGGTTCGGGAAACCCGAGATCCCTGACGCCACGTCGACAACTGACTAGAACAGTCGAATGGCGGCAATACTTCTACTCCAATGGCTGCATCAAGTTACACTGCAGGGAACGGGAACTCTGAGCTGTCATTATCGAATGAATCCTGACCACATTGTGTGGCTGCTGCATGGTGGTGTTGCCGTGCCGCGTTCATGCATAGAGAAACGTACCAGTAATTAGAGCACATATTCTGAGATTCGGTTATCATTTACCTGGTAAAAGCATCTCCTGAAAGGAGTTTGACATCATACAGCCTTGCAACATGCATCAAGCGCGTAAGAAAGAATCACTTTGGATTGCTGAAGACCATTGCTTTGGTTGTCGAACTGACATTCCGTATGGGCTTGACTGCTAATATGGTAGCTCTGTTGATTATAGTAAGCGGCTATACAGTAAAACCTCATAACAAAGAAACATAGGAGAGTAAGAAGGTTATAGGGATTACCTCCTGCGTATTCACAACAATATCTTGATTCAACAAATTTAACAATTTCCTTGTTACTTCCTGTTGGTGTAAGAATGCAGACTTCAAGGTTCTTACAGTGTTCTCATATTATGTTTTATCGGGATATTTATCTAGAGGTGAGATTGCTGGCAGAACGAAGACTGTCACTCGATTTGTAACGCGCACTAGACGATACTACAAGCGGAGTTTGGATAATAGCTACTTGCCTTGAGTATACCAGGCTGAATGTACCCATTATACACGCCTTGACCAACCGTCGTGGATGAGGATTTCGGCGGAAAGCTGAAGCCCGATAGTTGACCAGCAGGTTTCGCTGGAGCCGAACCTGCAAGACGAGGACCATAACGCTGTGGCTGAGGTGATCATTTCACTACAGGCTGCTGCGCAGTAGACTGGGCTAGTTGTTGGGGTTTGCAGTCACCAGCGAGTGCTTGTAAGGTATTGCACCTTTGGAGACATAGATATAATGTAGTGTCTCCAACCGCGTTACAGGACGCCACCGCTGGCGCACAGACCAAACTGGCTGGGCAGATGTTGCTGTTGCTGTTGCACTTCTGATATGTGTTGAGATTGGGCGGTGTTTTGCTGTCCATCAGCCCTACACTTGTATTAAACGAGACTTCCAGGGGGTCTGCTAGTTGAATATCTGAGACTGTGTAGTGAACAAATGCTTGACTGTTGGGTTTCGGTGGGGGTTTGCGTTGTGTTCTTGTGCGTTTGGAATAGTTTGTGGAGTCAGGCACGCAAAGTGTCGTATCATCCCAAGTGGCAGTGGCGGCGTCTCTCCACAATTGGCTCATGTCGTAAACATTCTTGGGAGTGTAATACAACCGACAATCGGATGCTTCGTAGCGAAATTGTAGTGGCGTCAAATCCTCGGGGCGCATTTGATCGCGGAGGTTGAACAATGCGTAATTCGTGAATATGCCAGTGTCGTTACGGGGCGGAATACTGTTGAAGGCGGCCTCATCACCGATTAGAGTCTTCAGATTGTCGATGTCGTAATCGATGCGATTTGAAGTGTAGGCAGCAGCTCCGCGGTTGCCACTCGCTGTCTGCATCGGTCCGTGCTGGGGGCGACCTCCGAATGTTATCGTTCGTACGCCTGCCAGCTCTGTCATGAGTTCCACAAACAATGCGCAGGCAGAAGAGCATAGTCCGTCAGTAAGCTAGTCACACAGTCAGTTGAGTGACTATGTATAGTCGGGCGCTGCTTACCAAGACAATTTCATCGGGGTTCCAGCCAGGGTTTGCAACGACGAAGCTCGAGTTCACCCAAGGTTGGTAAGTCCATCCGAACATGTCGTAATCAAAAACTTCATCGCTGAGTTTGTAGAGTTGCTTTGGGTAATGTCAGCAATAGTAGTTGTGAACAAGCTACCGTTCTTACCTTTTGAGAAAACGCATCATTGCGATCCAAAACAGGCCCAAAGTACTCTGACCACGACGCAAAGTTGCGCCCTGTAGCGGCATTAATGCGATTCACAGCGATCCATTCTGATGCTGCGGAATCTTGAGACTCGAAAGAATCAGGATCTAAGGATTGCCACCAATCTGTATATGCTGTACCAAGAATGTCTGCCCACCGATGGCTTCTGATGCGGCTTCCTGTATAGAGGGGAAGTTCAGGAAAGATTTGCTGAAAGGTTGTCATGGCAAGCAAGACCAGCCCACCAGTGTTCTGCTGGAGGTCTATAACCACGCGTTTGATCTCTTTAGTGGTCGCATTTCCAATGAATTCGTCGATAGCATTGAAGAAGTAAGCCACACTAAGGCCGTCCTGATAGAAGCTTGGTATGCTGAGGACGCCGGTAGATATGTCATCAAAGATATATCCCGAGATGGCACCAGCCCCAGTGATCGACATGTCGTTCTGCACTACTACTGGATCATTGGGATATGCTCCAATGTTGCCATTGGTAACATTGCACCAATTTACCGCCGGACCTGCAGAGTTTGAGCAGTCAAAGCCTGGCTCAGGGTTCGATGGAGCTTCGTACTCTTCGAAAGGTATGTTGTAATCCGCAGGCCACCATGGAGGTGAAGAAGCGTCATTGGGATCGAAACCAGCAGGTATTAGCCCAAGCACAAAGTAGTTGTAGAAATCTCCAGGTGTAGTCAAAGGGCCAGTACGTGCGTTTTCTGCGTACAAGGCAAGCCAAATGGTATCCAGAGATGTATTGTTCTCAAAGGTAAAGTTCAGTTCATCTCCTGGGTATAGCGGCAGACGCTGGAAAATGCTGAGGTATCCTTGTATATCCTTGGCAGGACTACTCAAGAGAGAGTTCCAATCAGCGTGCGGCTCAACGTAACCCTCCGAATTAGGTGCTATCAGCGACGTCAAATATTCAATAACTTCGATACTGTTGATCTTTGTGACTGGGGAGGCATCGTAACCTTCTTTGGCAGCCGCGAGTAGATCCTCCTTCAGGTAAATCTTTGGCTCTTCTGAGCCGTTCTCCGAGAGGGACAAGAGTGTGTAAGGACTGGCGAATTTGAAAGCTGCTAGCATACCTGCATCTAATGTGACGTGACTATCGTGGATGCGGCTGATGAGTACCTGTATTTGCTCCTCGAAAGCATATTGGGTCTTGTATGTGCCTGAGACGATGTCTGCCCGGATGTTCTCGAGTTCTTGTTGTACGTCGACTGATGGTTGTTGATACCCGTCCGGAGGGTTGTTCAGGTATCGTAGCGTGCTTTGGAACTGCAACGTGTCGTTGTAGTAGTCGATAAAACGAGAGGCAACGTCTGCATGAAAAGGTACCCTGCTGATACAATCGTAGACGTCAGATGCTGCAAAGATATAGACACCTACTAAACGTTAGCTGTCATCTACACTGAGTCCGCAACAATGTCGTACCTTGTGCTGCTGCAGAGATGACACTCAAACATGGTAGTTCAGATGATGGCGCATCCTGACGCTTGGGAAGATGGGTAGAGAATGATTGAGGTATGGCATGGCAAAAGATTGGCAGCTGGATAAAGCAAAAGCTCAGTGCAAAAGACAGCATCATGGTGTGCCTGGAATCACTCGAAGACCAAATGAACAACTTCGCGACGTTGGAAAGGAGGGTGCTGGTATCGGTATGATCTTTAGTTGTGCATGTTGCGACTTGATATATGTGAAAATAGTTGGGTCCATGTCTATGAGGCTCACAGTGCGTATTGGCTGAAAATGGTCTGGGGGCCTGAGAGAGGGTTCAGGAAAGAAGGTGACGAGATTGTCAACGCAAGTACACCTAGATACAAGGGTCGAAGTAATCAACATCGGAAACTCTGCGTATTCTAGGTCTTGAACGGCAGGTGCGGCTTGCGTTAAGTCGCCGATGTTGCTGGAAGGCTGGAGATGGTGCGCCCACAAGGCTCAGCCATTGGGGGCTGAAAACAAACTGACCAATCAAGACACCTTGCTCCTGGCCCCCACGTAGCTTACCTGGGTATTGAGTCGATCAAAGACGGCCAGATTTCGCCGTGCTTGTGCCTGTCAAGTCTTAATTTGGAGCAAACGCCTCTGTTTCAGCATGGTTGGTACTGACGAGAGAAAATTGCGAGGGCATTATCGGAGCCTGAACCAACGGAGCCGCTGAAGGCTAGAAGCGATTCTATCTTCGCATCTACCACCATACGACTTTATTGCAATTATCGTAGAGAGGACATTTGTCACATTCGAACCTTAGACTACGCTTCGCTCATCCTGATAAGCTGACGACGTAAGCACTCCTGAAGAAGCGTTGGCTGGATGCATCATGGAATGGAAGAGACAAGATGAACCATTTTCAATACCAGTCGATATCCATGAAGCCTTGTTTCGAAATACTTTTCAAGATGCTCGCTACCAAGCCTGGACGCAGACGGATCGCTGCTGGCAGTTGCATATCAGTGGAGGACCAGGAAGTGGCAAGGTCAGTATTCAGTTTGACTATCCACGGTAATCGACGCATGTTGCCAATGATTTCGACTGACATCATCTTCTTCTAGACTACTCTCGCCGCTCTGATCGCAAGACAACTATGGAGAGATGGTACTGCTCCTATCGCACTTGTCCATGTACACGATGATGAGCCGTCCGGTACGCAACTGCAGAATGACACACTGCCTCACGATCGTGCTTCTTGTCCGGACAAGTTTCTCGGCTATGATGGGTCCCTCAGAACAGGAGTCATAAACGTGTCGTCCTCAGGGACAGACCTTCAAGACTTATGCACACTCTTGGCTGAGCAACTCCTAAAATCAGATGGGTTTTATCTCATTATGGATGGCTATGATCGAATACAATCCTCGAAGCAATGCGAGCTGCAGCACAACATTCGTCAGCTCCAATACCAAGGATTAAGGGTGCTGCTTTTCAGTGCGGTATCCAAGCTCGACGTCTTCCCGCCAGCCTGGCCTGTTGAGTGCGACAAGTGTGGACGTAGGGGGGAGGATAAAGATGGCCTGTACATCTACTGGGCATGCGATCTATGTCCTTGCGATCTCTGTGACACGTGCAAAACTGCGGATATCCACTGTGATGACCGCCAACATCAAATGTCTGAGCCTTACGATGTGGTCAACATGAAACTTGTTACAGTACCCTCAGAGCTGGAGTCCTTTGTAAGGGCTGATTTGACGGCTGAATATGGTTCGGAATTAGACGACGACGTTGTCGAAGCTGTCTGCGAGCCCAGTGACGGCAACATAAATCTCGCCAAGCTTCGCCTCGACCAGATTCGTGATCTTGATTCACCTTCTGACATTTTGTCGCCTGCTGATCGCCTCCCTCGGGAAGTGGTTGCATTGTTCGATGCGGAGATCAAGCTCATCAATATTCTGGAACCATCTCAGAGGTACCAAACGTTGTTGGCCCTCATAGCCATAGCAGAAGCTGGAGATTGGATGTCAGTCGTTAGACTCGAAGAGCTTCTGAGTCATATGAGTGGCTCCGATGCGTTCTGCAGTGACGGGTCTTATCCTCGAGTGCGTCGCGTGTTGAGTTCGGCCCGTGGGCTGCTTTCTTCACTTATTTTCTTCGGCAACTTATCACCTGAGCATGAAGAGTCAGAAAGACATAGGGTTGGTCTCTATATTCGGGATCTAGGCTGGTATATCCGTGAAGACTACAATCAGGATCTAGTTCTAGCCAAGCAGTACCTGAACGAAGCTAAAATAGAAGAAAGTAATCTGGATCGCAGCTACAGTTTCGAAAGAACCGTCGGCGAAAGAAAGCAGGACATCGATGAGCCTAATAACACATTATACGGAGTCTGGAGGTCAAAGTACAAGCTCCATGAAATCTCCGGTAACAGTATCATTGACTCAGTACTTCGAGAACCCGAGGGTATATGTACACCTTGCCAAGAAAGTATATTCCTGCCAAAGTCGAACTCAGGAGTACGAACATGGTCCAATTACGATCGGAACCGAAATTTGAAGACATACTGTCAATTCTGCTGTTACGCCTACAACGAAATGGATGATAAAAGAACAAGTATGCTGGCTTTTCATTGGACAAGGCGGACGATGGGCCGCACCTCCAACTCCAACGACCACATGGTTGTGGCTCTGAGGCACACTGAATTCTCTGCACAAACATCCTTCAGGCGATTTGTCTTTATGTTGAAGTCGGAACTCAGATTTTTACCGGCTCCTGATCGTCTGGGTGAGACGACTACCCTGAAACACACTGGCAAACAAATTCAAAAGTGGTTAGAAACTTGCCAAACGGAGCATACCCACTGCAACTACAAAAAGGTGAAACCGTACGTGCCCAAACGCCTTGTGGATATCGACACAGGTGCTTCCGACAGGCTGCGCGTCATTGGGAAGGAAGAGAAGGAGGAGGGGCCGTATGTCACTCTGAGTCACAGCTGGGGGCGCAATCCTAACTTTCTGACGCTCACCACGAAAGATAAAGACAGGCTCATGAAGCAGGGTTTCTCGGTAACAGAGCTCAGGAACAAGAACTTCGAGCAGGCTATCGAGGTCGCGCGACATCTCAAAGTAAAGTACATCTGGATCGATTCCTTATGCATATGCCAAGCTGGGAGAGACAAAGATTTCAGAGAGGAAGGGCAATATATGCACCTTGTCTATCAAAATTCGTTCTGCAACATTGTTGCCGCAGACTCAAAAGATGGCCAGGGTGGTCTTTTTAGGAATAGACCTATCGAAACGTTGCCGGGTACAGATACACAAGGATCCTGGGTGGTCTTAGACAAAGAGCTTTGGGCAAAGCAACTGTTACAGAGCCCTATATACATGCGTGGCTGGGTGTTTCAAGGTAAGCTGATAGATTAACTCAGTATACCAAATGCTAACCTTACAAAGAAAGGATGCTTTCTCCTCGAATCATTCATTTTACACGCTCTCAGGTATTTTGGGATTGCAGTACAGTCAGCGCATGTGAGACTCTGCCAAACGGACTGCCGTTCCCCCTTTCCGCAATAGCTACAACGGACCGTCGCTGGCGTGGCCGCCTGCAGCGGAAGAATTCGGAACAAGACAGATCTAATCTTGCGGTTGAAGACTCTTTAGAGAAGTTTTGGAAAAGTGCTGTCCTCAGCTACACTTCTTGTGACTTGACAAATCAAGCCGATAAGACATTCGCAATCTGGAGTGTTGCCAAGTTGGTTCGAGACAACCTACCCGATCAATATGGTTGCGGACTTTGGTCAGTCGCCTTGCACGAGCAACTAGCATGGCAAGTCAAAGTCGCCAGACACGGTGCCAGAATGGACGTCTTGCAATCAAAGTTCCCCAGCTGGTCGTGGGCTTCGGTAAATGCACCTATACTGGTACAGGATCGTATCGTGGCAAAGAGGTGCTACACTGTCAAGAATCACAAGGGGGCTGCACTTAGCTTCAGCGACTTCAAAGACAAAGCATTGGTTAGTGATATGCAGCCTCAGTTTGCGGCATCTGATTCGCTTGCAGTTAGAGGATACCTCATCTGTGGGCGGTTGGAGAGAAGTGTACGCGATAAAACTCATACATTTCAGAGCGTAGAAACTGGTTCTTCGCAAAAGTACGAGGTAATCACTGACGAGAAACTTCCTGAAGCGCTACTCAGCTCGTGTTTCTATCTAATGCCGCTCGTCGCCCGCAAGACGAGCGACTCTGAGATAGCCTACACCGGTAGCGCTCTTGTGCTAACTGCCACTGATGATTACCGGCAACTAACCCATATGAGATTGACAAAACAACTACTCAATTTAGTGAGTTTCTCTCAGCCTCACCCAGCTGAAGATCAACGACATGCAGATCGAAAGTCCGAACTGCAAACGCTACGCCGAAGTGTTGATGCTCTCAATGCATGTCTTCACAAAATAGCAAAGCAAGATCGGGAACTACCACGGAGGGAAGGAAACGCGTTTCGCAGGGTTGGTGTTGTCCAATTCCACGATCTCCCCGCAAAAGAGTGGGCTTGTATAAGGGCAAACGAGGAGAGGTTGATTTGGTTGGACTGAATTCTATGGGCTATCTAGATCGTTTCCAAGTCCTGGTGGCGTGTGAAGCTTTCAACTTCAGAAACTCACACGTACATCCAATGGTCTGTGTAATCCTAAGAAATGCATAAGAGTTGCTACAGCTTAGACAGGAGAGCGGCCATATAACCTCCGCCTGCTTTGGCGCAATCTCTCGGGAACGTGCCTATCTTGCGAACGCTTAGACGAAGCTCGCGCATAGTCTTACATGTGATAATCCTGGTCTTTTGATTGCGCATGTGGTCAATGACACTGTAGAGGTTGACCTTGAGTGGGCGAAGCGCCTTTTCATGGTCAGCAGCCTACATCGGTAGTAATTGCAAGTTGGGATGCTTACCTTCCTGGCTTGTGTAACAGTACATGGTATTTGCTCAATACCCATCTCTCGACACAAGTACTGATAGCACTCTAATTTATCGACATCGTTTGAACTCTAGTAGAACTCGACTTCAGTGCGAAGCAACGTGATCAGATTCTGACGTTTGGTCCGTCGATCCCAACCTTTGATGCGAGCCAGACGTTCGAACTCCTCCTTGAAGGGGGCATTTGGGTGGTGCACGAAGTCGGTAAAGTCATTTCATACCGGGTTTTCCCTACCTGACATGTTCGAACCGGTATCACCGTCGTCTGTAGCCGCATTCATGGAGATACTCTGGTCGTAGTTGAGAATTTCAACGCTATCAGAAAGCTCATCTGGAGACTTGACTGTGTTGAGAGATAAAACGGTGCACTGTGAATCCGCGATTGATCGAGACAGTGAGCCAACGGAGATTCGAAGATATCCACCGTTACCGGACCGATCACTGCACAGCGACCTTACACTACCAAAAGAGTTTGCCCTTGAAGTGTGAGAAATGACCGAGAAAGATGACGCATCTGAATTGACAAAGAGCTTTCGCACGTGATTGGTGACATCGGGGGTATCAGTCTGACTTGTCAGATCCATATTTACAGTCGAACCCGTTGTTGTTGATCTGTCTTGACATATGCATTGGTAATTTCTCTCGCTTGACACCCGTACTCTTCAATTTCACCTTGCATCACGAACATGGTGTCGAACGAAGTGGGCTGCACTTACTGTGAACTCCCCACGAGTATGTCTCGCTGAAACACTTTTCCCAATGATAGCACCAATCCGGACTTCCGCCTATCCATCCTTTCGCCTTTCCCAAGCGCGCGAACTCGGCCTTGGGTGAGTTGTTGAGATCCACGACATGACCAATATTGTTGGCCCATACTTTTAGAAGGGCTCTCTGTGTCTCGGAAGTCATCGTGACAGTAGCAGCAGTAACATAGACTGACTCAGGAGGACTGTTAGGTTCTGGTGTCGCGATGTTTCCAGAGCGCTACTGTCAGTGTGGTGAAGATTGTTTGACGAAAGCGAGTGAGATACGCGGAAGGTTAGAGCTATGGGAAACGCGTAAAGTAGTTGAAAAGCCGCTGTGTGGGTAAGTGGGGGGCCGCGTTTGAACTCTACCTAGGTTCCAAACCAACAAAGCGCGCTCACACATGGTTACGAATGCAGAGAGCCTATTATGGTTAGCGCTTAGAGCTGGAGTACGGTAGGTACCTAGATACACCAGGACATTTACGCCAAGTGAGGGGGTCTGTACATCATCAAATAGTGAGAGAGCCACGAGTAATTTAGCATGAAGAGGAAAGACTGGTGTACTCATCGCTCGTACTAAAGCATCATATCACTTGAGTTTGACAACTTGCAAAGTGTCTAGCTCGCTCAAGAGATCAACAGATACTTCTATGCCGCGACACATCCGAGCCACCCTAACCACTCTTATTGCATACATTTCCCCTAGGAGTGCAATCCAGACCATCTGATTCTGAAACAAACACGACTCGTAGCATTCGAGGTCGACCCTTAGACGGACTTCTTCGGCAATGTCTTCCTCGGTTGTTTGGCCATCTGCGTGTTTGTATGCTTGCGCTTCTTGTTGTCAACTGCTGCATTCCCGTTGCCTTCACGTGAGACTCCTAGCGATATGATAGCGTCAGAAACTTCCTGAGCCTTTCGTCGGCTTGTAGCTGCGCGAGTACGTCCAAGACTGTCAACAAGCGCAGTAGGCTTCTCAGGGATGACTCTGAAAGTCGGAAGATCGGTGGAAGCATCGCTTTCGTCTGCGTTGCCGTCCATACTGCCGTAGGCGAAACCGTCTAGAATATCCTCTGCGATGCTATCTGCTGCCTCGCTCTCGGGTTCTACCTTGCCATCGTAGTCGTCTTCCTCCTCAAGCTCGTCGTTTTCCTTCCAGTCTTCGTAGATCTCGAAGTCAGGGTCAGCATATCGTTTGGTCGCTGCCTCAAGTTCTGCCTCTTCGCGAGCGCGGTCGAGCGTGATCTTGAGTGGTTTGATCGGGAACCCCTTTGGCTGCCGCAGCTGTAGTTCGTTTTTGCGGTAGCGAGCTTTCGGAGCACCATAGTTCCAATTGGTGTTTCTAAGGATGGGCATCGTGAGCTTCCTACTAGAGTATGAGCTTGGTGTTAAGACGGTATGCTGGAATGCGCCTACTTGTTCACTGATCCACTGGAAAGTGCAGCAGGATCTGAAAGCGCTGCGCCTGAATCCACACGAGGCTCCTCGCGCGTCTTCTCTGTTACTGCTTTAACTGGAACCATAGTATTATGCGCTATCTCTGGTTGATTGTAGCCACACCGATACTTTGGCAAGCGCCACGAGAAAATCGTCAAAGGGATGTGAGCAGTAAGATGATGAGTGAGGATCGAGAATAGAACTGCCAAGCGAGCCGATACACAAGGAGAGTCTCGACTAGTTGTCGCGTGAGATTTTGCAGCAAACAAGATGGGTCGACACGATATGTCTCAATCAGAGCGTCGTGATGAAGGTGAAAGTGAATGCGAACGTGGGATCGACGCTCTTGTCTGGTATATTAGCCTGTCTTCGAACTGAGTGAATGAGCGTGAAGTGAAAGGGAAGGCATATAAAGTATAGTCCCTCCTGCCAATACTACTCGAGCCTGTGGTTGATATACGCATGACATGGTGATCAGGAAAGAACACTCAAGGGTTGCTGATAGGCGTTCCTTTCATACGTCACCAGGGATCCTAGCTTCCAAATATGAAGCTTGTGCTAGCTTTTAGTACATACATAGGTGACTGTTTTGAAGCTCTGTCTACTCGCGGAAGCCCAGTGTAACAAAGAATTCACATCTTCTGGTATTGTTGGTGAGCTAGCTAGCCGTGTAGCAGATTTCATCGGACGTGTGTTGTTTTGTAGAGCTGCCAAAAGGAGTTTGTTAGTCACGCATGTATGCTCATTATGTATATGATATCAGTAGACATAACGAGGCATGAATGAGACTGAGTCGGAGACGTTGGTGTTGAGCCGCGCAAGCTTGGGTGTATTTCGATGGCTGAGCGCGACACGCGAGGTACGCGAATTACTTCCTAATTCAACAGCGCCCTCCGGACTTCTAGCTTCGTATTGAAAAGTTGTCAAAGACCATGGCAAGAAATCGCATTATCCATGATCAGCAACGATACACACAAGCATATTTTGTGGGCTTGAGCACAGATAGGGGCGAAGACAGTAAAGCATCGCTATTCAAGTTTGCCATTAAAGGTATCGCTTTCCAACAAGGTCCGCGTATCCGTTTCCTTTGTGCTGTGGTTGAACCATCGTGTGTGAAAAAAAAGGAAGCCTGATGCAGCTCAAGCAAAGGCTCACTCATATTACACTTGTGAAGAAGACGCATCTATAGTCCAGCTGAATCGAACATTGACAAGCTTGTAGTGAGCTTGCCGCACTACGGGAGTTACACGCTGGGCTATGACACCATCAGCGTACGTACCGTAGGCTCCCGGCACTCGGCTGACCGCGATCCAGCCGTGTACGAAGATACTCCACAGTCCATGTGATCAGTTTCTACTGTGCAGTCATCCCCATGCCCTGTTTCATGCAATGTCGTTGGTATGTCGAGCTCGCGCGAGTTCCTTAGGACGGTAGCTACATAGTCCAGATTGCGTGAGGGAGCCGATGGCGAGGGAGTGACAGAACCTTCCCCTAGATCGTCTGTAGTAGTTCTGGTATGGTTTTTGTCCATGACAGGTGAGGCAGTGCTGGAGAGCTCCGGTGTTGGTGGCACGAACTGTGAGCGCACAGATGTAGCTGTTTGCCTAAGGGAACACGCCTCAGACTCCAACTCATCCGTCCTGCCATAAGCTTCCATTTGCGCAGTGATCTTTTTCAGCTTTCGAATATCGCTTTTATATCCTTTGATGTCAAGCTTGAAGAGAATGATCTCCCGGACATAGAAGTCGATTTCATTTTGCATACTTTCCATCTGCACGTCCGGAGTGTCAGTAAGGGTCTTTCCCTTCTTCTTAGACTGCTCTCTTCTCAGGCGCTCGTGGAGTCTGTCCATCCACCTATCGATATCTTCCCGTCTGGCAAGCGAGGTGAGCTCAGGCAACGAGTCATCCTCCGTGGCCATGTGAAGCTTCATTGCCGCATGTCGCCTTATTTCTGCTTGCAACAAGAGTTTGTGATGCTCTAACTGCCTCTCCACAGCGCGAAGATCCCTATCCTTCTCTTCAATCAATGATTCGCGGTTCAAGACTGCATTTCGAAGTTGTTCCATGTAAGTATCTGTTCGGCGTGCTTCTTGTGATTGATCCTGTATTTCCGAATGAATAGCGACTTTGTTGTGATCCTGTTCAAGCCGGATGTGTGTTTGCCGCAGTTGCTGTCGCTCTTTCTCCAATTCCGCAATGTAGAGATCCTTCTCTCTGACTTGATCTTGTAGGCGTTCCATGTCCGCCACGAATGCAGCTAACGTTGAATTTTCTTGAGAGTCGAGTTCCGAACTGACAATTGAAGCGCCGGGGAAGACTGTGTTTGTGTTCATACAAGCACCAAATGTTGCTTGTTTTTCGCTTGATGGTACGTGGGACTTGGGAGGAGAAAGGTCGAAAGGTGATTTATCGCTTCTCAAATTCGAAAGCTGTTCTTCCGCGTCTAGTCGCTTTGTGTTCGCAATCTCAAGACGGTTCTCAAGGTGATCTATGGTATTTTGTAGAGCTTGTGTGGTTTTTGCAAGCTTGTCGGCATGCGTTGCCTTATCTTCAAACTCGGCACATTTCATCTCAGTCATCCCAAGTATGTTACGAAGTTCCCTCTCGCTTTTCTTTGATTCATTCAACTTCGCCATCAGAGATTCGATTTGCTGTTGAAGAGCAACATTGTTCTGTTTGTATTGGTTGAGCTCGGGAAGTAGATTTCGGGTTGTCGTTTCGGATCTGCGGGTGCTGCTTAGCTTCCGCTTTAGATTCTCCTAGTATTCTAAATCAGTCATACGTCTCACATGCAACATGCGTATATACCTACCATCTCAAAGCTGGTTTCCAAGCGTTGGGGCGATTGCTCTTTATCCTCAGGTTCGATCGGACTGGCAGATACGGTATCCACTATAACTTGTGCGGTTTCTCGAATTGGCGTGTGCGGTGTTCCTATGGTGTCCAGGACAGTCAGGGCATTATTACTTGACGCTGGGTACACTTAGCAAACCAAAGTGGTGGTTGATGCCACAAGCACACAGCACAGATAACCCCTGTTGATCGATCCAACACGATTGGAAGTAGCGTCCTTAAAAGGCGGGAGATCACAATGGTAGACTTGACGAGAATTGGTGCTTACCGTGATGCAGGCCTTGCTTGCTAACCTGCTCTTCAAGCGTTCGAATGTAATTCTTCAAAGACGCAACTTCTGCCGAGTGTGATTCTACAAGGCTTGCAACGCGTGACTCGCACGACGATCTCAAACTGGTAGACTGGGACTGGAAGATTGAGATTGTTTGACCTTGTGTAGCAATGGTCGCCTTGAGTTCTTCGATATGCCTGCTACGTGTTACTGAGGGGTTGGACGCAGAAGATGCCTATGTATAGTCAGCATTTGGGTATGATATACACTGGGCGCTTGAAAAGGCCCGATATCGACTATTGCAAGGCAGAACAAACTGCATGGTGGACGTAATGATCAGGATTTGTGCAACTGCCGCCCGCGCGACATTGGGAATGTGAAACATGTCACCGCCGCTATTCGTCTTATAGGCTTCCAATCCGGGGATACAACAAGACATTGCCAGCGAAAGGTCTGATGCCATGGCTGCATGGCAAAGCAGTACATCTAACTCAGGCATATGTCGTCGCATTAGGGTTGGATATGGGATACAAAGAACTTCTGAAACTGTTTCGTTATGCGGTGTTGTTTGTCCAGTAAACACACGTCTATCGAGAAACAAACAGCACTCACTTCATTTTCACGGTGTCGGCGGTTTCCAACATCCCGGTCACCCGCTCTCTTCCCCTGACCAAGCCACCTCTGACTGGGACTTTGCATGCCGCCTTTGTTCATCGAGGCTTTTCCGCGCGTGGATGAAAGAGAAGTAATCAAATCCGGTCTCGAACGTCTCCGCTTTCTGGCTTTACTCGAGGATCTGCTATCGACCTCCGTTAATAGATCAACTTGGGTGGCTTTGGCGGACTGAAGTTCATCACCGCTGGGAATGGTCTTCATTATGCTGTATCGCGAGCTTAGTTCTGGAACGGACCGGGTATGGTTCAATTGTGCCGGAACCAAATCCAACGCGTCCAAAGAGACACTCTCGTGACTCAAGTGCCTATCGGGCGGGTGACTCTCCCTCCTAAAGATCTGGGTTGTCGGTCGTGCAGATACAGGAGTTGAAGATGATGGAAATCCTTGATTCTCTAACAAAAGAGAGCCAGGTAGCTCGGCAGGTAGCTCTGTAATTGAAGGGACCGAGGCAGAACGTGGCCGACAGGGAAGGGGTTTTTGCAGTAAAGATGTGGACCTCGAGCATGGACTGGTGCTAGGTACTGGCGAGCGCAACATATCGTTGGAGAAAGAATGTAGGATGGTCGCAGCACCAACAACGGCTGCGTTATACTGGGATGTGACAGGACTGCAGACATTTTGCTTGTCGTCCGATGGAAGGATGGTAAGGTTCGCTGGCCGCCGCTTTTCGACTCTCAGAGTGGTCTAAGAGAGATGGTCAGTGAATGGTCAAGCTCCACAAGACAGGCGCAGACGTCGGATTGTATGCAGCGGCAGATTGCGGTATACATGTTGCCTTGTTTTGCATGAGACGTCGTCGTATCTGCCAGTACACTGTCTTCTTTTCCTGGACATCATCCTACCTTGGGTTCATAGTCATTGGGCTCGGGCTCGATTGATTCAATCGCTAGCAGCCCTCCTGTGCGATAGTATGGCTCTGAACTAGACTGGCGCTTCGACCAGGACAGAATGCGCTTGGTCGGCATCGCGCGATGTTTACGCACCCCGCGCTCAATAGTAGTAATTCAACGTAGACATGAAGATGAGATGGAAGCTCGACGCGCTCGGGCTGCGGTATGGTGCGAGAAGAGAGGTCAGACGAAGACGCGGTGGCTAGAAGGTTTGCAGCCACTTCAACGGTGGTTTGACTATGTTTGCAAGGCGTCCACGTTGGGTTCATATCGCCCGCTGTCATGTTTCGGGGCTGCAAACCACGCCGTACCTACCTGGATCCGGGTGAAGACGCTGCTGACAGGGGCCAAATGGCCCGACTGGCGCAAGAGACAAACGAGTGCTCCTTGCATGTCGTATAGGCGCCTTGGAGTCCCATAGTGGCGCCGTCTTGTACGTGCAGCGAATAGACGAGATGAGGACGAGGCGCGATAGCGCGACGCCGTGACGAAAGTGCAGGAAGCTTGGGCCTCTCTCTTGTCTGGGGAAGTCGCGACCGAACAGCTCCAATCCTCAGCCGACTATTGCGTGCTAGTTGCAATCCTTTCTGCTCTTTTGTGCAAGCCCACTGCTAATTACGGTGTAATGGTCTAGCCGGCTACCACCGCAGTGCAGGCGACTTGGCACAGCCCCCAGGAAGCCCGTTCACTGAATCCACTCTGCACTAAGGAAAAAGTTGGGATCGTCATTGCGCCCCCAACCACGACACTGCGCCCCCACGGTTCTCACCATTCGGCCCCAATATGGCGAGAGACCTGTCGCCGTACAGTGCGCGACGACTGCTTACGCAACAAATAGTCCAAGGAAAGACTGCCTCGCCCCCAGCAGTCTCAGGCGGGAATGGAAGTCCGAGCAGCTTCTCGAAACATGGGTCAGAACGCGTCGGGAAAGAGCCTTCGATAGCATCTGGTCGCCCATCGCGGAGTAGATCGAGGGAGAGGAAGCCCAGGCACCTATCCAAAGACGACGAACCAAAGGAAGCGGCCACCGAGCCCAGCGCTGTTCGCAAGCGGGAACAATCCCCAGAACCATACAGGAAGCCGCGAGATTCGTCCAGAGAGAGGAGACGCGACGGCTCGAGAGAGCGGAGAAAGGACCGCTCCAAGGACAGGCGACGCGACAGGTCACGAGACAAAAGGCGAGACAAATCAGGCGACAGAAAGAAAGATCGTTCGAAGGACAGGCGGCGCGATCGCTCACACGACAAGGACAGAGGCGGAGACAGGCACAGGAAGCGCGATCGCTCCAAGGACAGACACAGCCGGCGAGATCGCTCGCACTCCAGAGACCGACGACGAAAAGACAGGTCCAAAGAAGGCCGACGTTCACGCTCGCCTATACCATATCGTTCCCGCAAACCGCGTACTCGCTCGCCCTCCGCATCTACATCCCCTCCGCCCAAACGTCGCCGACGTACACGCTCCCCATCGCCTTCGCGCTCATCTTCTCCACACAAGCGAGTTAAGAAAGCGCTACCGTCGCAAGAAATCTCCTTTCGCGGGCTGGACGACTCCGCCCAACCACCCTCGAAATATGGCGGCGCACCACCTGACAAGGAGAAACCCAACTTCAAGCCTACCGGTGCGCTAGCCAAAGCTGCCAACCGCGTAGAAGGCACCAAGATCTCCCTCAAGTACCACGAGCCACCCGAGGCGCGAAAACCACCCGCTTCGCAACCCTGGCGTATCTTCGTATTCAAGGGCGATGATGTGGTAGATACCATTGAAATATGGCAGAAGAGTTGCTGGCTACTGGGCCGATCACATGAAGTCGTCGACTACGTCCTTGAGCACCCCAGCTCGAGTGGACAACATGCAGCCATCCAGTTCCGGTACATACAGAAGACGATCGAAGACGAGTTCGGCGTGAAGAGCCAACGAGGAAAGGTCAAGCCGTACATTATCGACCTGGAAAGCAGTAATGGCACGGAGCTGAACGGCGAGGATCTCGAAGCGAGTCGTTACTTTGAGCTCAGAGACAAAGACATAATCAAATTTGGAGGGAGCGAGAGGGAGTACGTGGTTATGCTGCCACAAGCAGATGCTAAGTAGGAAAGGACAACGAAGATGACGAATGCAGAGAACGCTAGCATCACTGTGATGACACATGGTCATGCTCCATAGCAGTCTCTGTCTGGAAGAGAAATAAATACCAAAGATAAATTACTTAACAACCGTCACACTGATCCTATTGTTACTAGTTTTACCATCGAGAGTGTATCCTATAGACATTCTGGCATTGCTATATATGTTTCCTTCGAATTGATAGGTAGGGGCCCAGCTGTATCGAGTACCGAGCTGTGGATGGCTATGATTGAGCTTCTACAGGGCTTACTTCGAGGAGTCTCCGTGCCATGATCTCATCATCTCGAAACGACTATGTCAGAGTTGGCTGCTCGACTTGTCTTGATGATGCAATGGTGAATGTTCAGACGTTGAATAGCAGCGTGCAATCAGGTTCAGGGTCCAGTGTACGACAAGGATGCCGCCCCTGCCGACTTGGCAGGAACGGCCGTCATCAGGCTCCCCACAGTTCGTGTAAGGCGGAGACACCATGTTGCGCGTCCAGCTGCTTCGTTTCTTTTAACCCCCTTTTGTACTTAATTTTTGTAATACACCATGGCGCTTTTGCGACGCTATGGGCTCTACACAGTCCTCGCCGTGGGCTTCATCTACATGCTCTGGTCGCTCAGCTTCCCATACGAGCAACCTGGCGACGCGCCCATAAACGGCAACCCACACCAGCAGAGCCAGCAACCACAGAGAAATCAAAAGTACAAATCCTTTAATTGGGCAAATGTGCCCTTTAAGAATCGCATCGAGAACCTCACACCGCTACCGACCGGCGAACCGAAAGCCCTACCACCGATACAGTTCAGCTTTGGTCAGGAGGATGCTACGGCCAAGAACATCCGCGAGACAAGAAAGGAAGAAGTCAGGAAACAATTCCTGAAATGTTGGAAGAACTACAGAACCTTTGCATGGATGCACGACGAGATACGACCCATAAGTGGAGAAGTAGCCGACCACTTTGGAGGATGGGCAGCCACGCTCATCGACGCGCTCGATACGCTGTACATAATGGGCTTTGAGGAGGAGTTCTCTTCCGCCATCAAGGATATCGAACGGATCGACTTCGGGTACACCGACTTGGATAGAGTCAATGTGTTTGAGACCAATATCCGACATCTGGGTGGCTTGCTGTCAGCTTTTGAGCTAAGCGGAGACCAGAGGCTACTAAACAAGGCGAAGGAGGCGGGCGAAATGTTATACCATGCATTTGATACACCCAACCACATGCCAATCACACGATGGCAGTTCCGTGCCGCGGGCGAAGGCAAACCACAGGTCGCGGATGAGCAGGTCCTACTCGCGGAAATCGGAAGTCTGACTATGGAGTTCACGCGTCTTTCGCAGTTGACCGCCGACCCGAAATGGTATGATGCGGTCAACAGGGTGACGAGGGTTCTTGAAGAACAGCAAGACAAGACAAAACTACCGGGCATGTGGCCGATCGTTGTCAACGCTCGAAAGGCGGAATTTACCGGTGATAGCGGGTTCACTCTAGGAAGTATGGCTGACTCAACGTATGAGTATTTTGGCAAGCAATATGCCTTACTCGGTGGCCAAGATCCCATCTACCGCAAGATGTATGAGAGAGCTATGGACACTGCATCTAAACACGTCTTATTCCGACCATCTACTCCTGAAAATTCCGATATGCTCATGTCAGGATTCGTCCGCGCTGAAGGTGCCCATCCATACCTGGATCCGGAAATGCAGCATCTGGCTTGCTACACAGGTGGTATGTTCGCTCTAGGTGGGAAGATGTTCCAGAATAACGAACACGTTACAATTGGTCGTAAGTTGGCAGACACGTGCGTATGGGCGTATATAGCGTCCCCGTCAGGTATCATGCCCGAAGTATCGCATCTTCTCAAATGCGCAAACACGACGACCTGCGTATGGGATGAGAAGGAATGGTTAGAGGGTATCGCTTCCCGAACGTCTGAAAATGCAGAGGAGAAGGATCCGATCAAGAACATCGCAAACCTTCGCCTGCCAAGCGGCTTCACCAGTATCGATGACAGGAGGTACATTCTCAGGCCAGAGGCTATTGAGAGTGTGTTTGTCATGTACCGTATCACAGGAGAGCAGCAATGGCAGGCCGCCGCATGGGATATGTGGACAGCTATTCAGCGCTCTACCGACACTGACATTGGTAACTCAGCGTTAGTAGACGTATCGGCCGACTCCCCACCGAGGGCGGAT